GCCTTCCAAGACTTGGGTGGTGTGGTCAGAGCCTTTGCCAGTGAAGACTGAGGCAAAGAAGTCATTCAGAACCTCAGCCTTCTCCAAATCCTGTGTAGCTTCCTGAAGGGGCCTACGTTCTCCCTAGTCTGTTTTTTATTTGCTATGTACCTGTAGAATCCCTTCCTGTTATCCTTAACAGCCCTAGCCAAGTTTAATTCTAATTGGGCTTTAGCTTTCCTAACATGGTCCCTAGCTTCCCGGACAACATCCCTGTACTCTTCCCAGACCACCTGTCCTTGCTTCCATTTTTTATAAGCCTCTTTTTGCATTTGAATTTTCCTCAGCAGCTCCTTATCCATCAATCTTCAATTCAGTTAGGTTGCTCAGAGTCCTGTCCAGCCTGGCCTTGAATGCTTCCACCAGTGAGGCATCTACCACCTCTCAAGAAAACCTGTTCCAGTGTTTCATGACTTTCATCATACGTGATTTCTTTCTTATATCTATTTTGAACATTAACTCCTGTCCTATTGCTACAGGCCCTATTAAAACGTCTGTCCTCATCTATCTTATAAGCCCCCTTTAGGTACTAAAAGGCTGTAATAAGGTCTCCCCAGAGCCTTCTCTTCCCCGGGCTAAACAACCACAGTTCTCTCAGTCTTTCCTCTTAGCAGTCGTGCTCCAGCCTCTGATCATTTTATGGCCTTGTCTAGACCCACTCCAAAAGTCCACGTCTGTCTTGTACTGGGATCCCCAGAGCCGGACACAGGACTCCACGTTGCATGATAAGAGAGCAGAGTAGAGTGAAAGAGTCACCTCCCTCGACCTGCTGGCCACTCTTCTTGTGATGCAGCCCCAGAGTCCACTGGCCTTTAGAACTGGGAGGGCGCATTGCCAGCTCTTGTCCAGCTTATCATCCACCAGCACCCCCAAGTTCTTCTCCATAAGGCTGGTCTCAATCCCTTCACCCTCCCAGCCTGTATTGACACCAGGGGTTGTCCCAGTCCAGCTGCAGGACCTTGCACTTGGCCTTGTTGAACCTCATGATGTTCACATGGCATCAGTTCTCAAGCTTGTCCAGATCCATCTTAATGGTATCCCATCCCTCAGGTGTGCCAACCACACCACACAGCTTGGAGTCCAGCTTTCTCCAGAGTACAAGAGATTCTTCTCCTCAGAATCCCTCTTCCTCCTGCTCCCATCCTATGGCAAATACATGATATAACATATCAGTATGATCATTAAACTTGTGTGACAATGACCACGGCTGGTGTTAGGAGACATCAAAATGGGGTTTGCATGTTACCTTGTGTAGCAACAGCTTGCTCTGCATCACCTGCATCTCACCTTCTCCTTTTCCTCTCTGTAGTACTGGGGAGGTCTCCCAGGAGCAGATCTCAGCCTGCTCCCCCCATGGGTCTATGTTAGAGGGCTCATGCATTTGAGAGCTCATCCAATAAATACATGGAAGATCTGTGATACTCAGAGGGTGTTGACGTTGAATCGGTATCACTCCTCCCTCATGCAGCCTTCATCTCCTCTTCCCTACTTGCTGTTAGTGTTTGCTGTGCTCTGGCATTATTCAGGGAAGTTGCCTTCATATATAATTAGGAACAGACACCCATATAGGGTGCACCCATTTGGAGTGTCTCTGAAGAGATGAGCACAGCACAAGGAATAGAGACTCATCCCCTGTGGTTAATCTGTCGGTGCTGAATGCTCCTTAAAATAGAGCCAAAGAGATAAAGACAGAGCTTGGGCACTGCATGCATTCAAGTTTTCTTGGTGTGGTTCTCTCTAGCACAGCCTGTGACTGTAGCTAGGGTATGGGGTTCTTTGAGCAATGGGGGAATGCAGGAAGACAGCACTGGGAGTATCATCCAGCTGTGATCCCATACGTGCCTTCTTGCACTGCCTTTGGTGCCTTTTCATAAGTTTTCCTGGTGTGAGTTCAAGTCAGATCCACTAGTGATTCTCAGCTCTTTCCCTGCCACATCCCAGCACCACTAATAAAGCTCTTCCTTTCCTCTAAGTCATTATTTGAACAAACTCAAGTTGTTTAGGAGAGGAGGGAGAGGATGAATTCACTGCTTCAAGTCTGCAGGAGCTGGGGTTGCAGAAGAGCCCTGACCATGTGCTTGCTATGGTCCTCACTTCTGAGGCAGAAGTACTTTGCATTGTGTAGCATTTCAAACAAGACTCTCAAACATGGCCCAGGGCACAGTGAAGGGTGTCCGGGTCATTCTGACAATAAGGAAGTAGCCCTAATAAGTCCATATCTGCTCTTCTGCCTCTCCAAGAGGCAAAGGAGAAATCTTAGAGTGTCCCCAAGTCAGGTTTGACTTCACAGAAGAGCTGCACGCTTCACAGATGACCAGGAATCCACTGGATGATGCACTGATTTCATCATGGCTGGCAGGTGGATCTGCTGACCCACTATTGAGGAACGACATTTTTATGGGAAGTGTCATGTTTGCAAGTCCAAAGAGGGGTCTCAGCAGCTGCCCAGGCAGCACTCAGTGCACCGCAGTCCAGCTCTGAAGCACTGAGGACACAGTTCAGTTTCTGGTTTGAATGACACTTGTTATTCCTGATTATCCCTGTGGCTGTGGAATTCACAGCTATCTTGCTGACCACTTATATTGGATGTAGAAGATCCTGGGCCCACTTTCTATTGATTTCCCTGCTCTCAGAGAGCAGACCCCATCTTCTTCAATGTGTCTGTGGTGGAAGTTTTATTAATGCAAAATGAATATCCCTCTGGAAAAGGAAGTCCAGGAATTAATAATGAATTAAAACAACTTGCCACAGGCATTGCTAATGAGCTCTTTGTCTGTGTGGCTCACATGAAAGGAGGTCATTGCTCAGCCGTTCCCATCCCAAACAGCAAGCAGATTAACTGTTAACAGCGAACACACGGTCTCCCGAGACAAGGAGGACTGGCTGCAGCTCAGTTTGTGCCTGGCAGGGTTTTCCTGCCCTCATCCCTGCTCTGCAGGCCTGTTTTGAGGAGTCTTCGCTACCTGGAGAAGACACCTTCTTCCTCTCCCTTCTGAGACTCAGGTTGCCCATCTGTGTTGTGAGGACACAGGAAATGAAAGGACAGTGACCTTGCAGAGCTTAAGAGAAGAGCAGAAAGTAATCTTGGAGGGGACTAGTGGGGCCTGACTTCACTGCTGGTGGGCTCTGGTCCAGTAACTACCCTGGCACTGCTCCAGTGCTGTATTGTTCTTTTCCCTTATCTTGCAAGGCAAAGAGTTATCCTGCCTTATCTGCTGCTTTGGAGGAAGCACCATGGGAGGGCCAGTGGGGAAATGCAGTGGAGATCGTGCCCCTGCCAAGCCCCATGGGCAGGAACAGGTTGTGCTGGAAGAGGAGCAGCCACCACTGGCCAGTGGAGAAGGGAAAGCCATCACCATGCTGAACATCAGCAACCAGGTTTCACTCAGCAGAAATAAGTGAGGAAGTTGGCTGAATCATAGAATCATAGAACCATAGAATGGTTTGGGTTGGAAAGAACATTAAGATCACTCAAGTTCCAACCCCTCTGCCATGGGCAGGGCCACCTCACCCTAGACCATGTCACCTAAGGCTCTGTCCAACCTGACCTTGAACACTGCCGGGGATAGAGCATTCACAAACAAGGCTGGCTGATGGCTCGCTTCCTTGCTTGGCAGCACCATTTCTCATTTCTCAAGTAACTGAGTCACCCCAGGGCACCCCATTGGTGAAGAGCAATGTCTTTGGAGTCTCCAAAGAGACTGGTGTAGCTGGTGTGGTCTTTGCTTGGGTCCCTGGAGGGACTCAAGGAGACCAAGGACATGACCGTGGCCCCATGCCTGGTCTACTCAGCTCCAAGCACACTACATGAGCTATTTCAGAAGCCCTTGAAAGGCACTGCAGCAGGCAGTATAGACATAGCAGAGACACCAATGGTTGCGCCTGAGAAGTCTGATTAGGGAATTAAAATGAAGCTAGTTGCATCCCACCTATTTGTTATCCACCAAGCTGTTCCTCCTACACAGCAACTTATTTCCTCCTTGGAGGCTGCTTTAAGATAGGGCTGCATTTAGGCACAGCTATTGCTTCTTTCTCTCCTGGTGTGACCTAGAAACCATCCTTGCATTGGGTACATAAAGAAGCAGTCTGGATAGTGCTGGCAATTGAACTAGGACATTGTTGGGATCTCTGACCCCAGGTGTGCCAGTGCTGCTGGGGCATCATGGTCTGCATCTACCTGGATCTTTTGTACTCCTGTTTCCTACCAGTGACGGTCAGGACAAGAGATTTGTGGCCAAGACTTCAGTAGTCAAGAAGGAAACACAGGGACTCAGCAGAGCTGATGGAAATTCATAGAGGAAGGAGGAAACATTAGACTTAAAGTCAAATAAGATTTTGCAGAAAAGGTAGTAATGCACTGCCTCCATATGGAGTGAATAGTTTCCCTGAGCTTGTAAGAGTTTTCACTCTCTTACAAACAGTATTTTGTGTGTTACTTTCCTCCTTTCCAAGTGCCTAAATTTGAGGATATAACCTTATCTCTAAATGACAAGCAATACTGAATGGGAAACTATTTTGTTCTGTCATTTACTTCTCATCTGGTCCTGTCACATCCTATCTTTTGGCACTATGTATTTTCTTAGTGTTATGAGCATGTATCTGCACTGCGTGTGTGAGAGTGGGTGTCTGAAATGTGTTTGCAGAGGTCCTTGATAAAAAGCTTTAACAACTAAAATTATCAGAGAGGCATGAAGGAGCTGGTCATGGTAGGCCTGAGCACTGGCAGGCGGTAGCTCATCTGTCTGCAGAAACATTAAGCAGGTTTTTAGTATTTCCTAGGAGGGAAACTACTGCTCATTTTGAGGAGTTAATGTTGCTTGTAGCTTCAGGTTGAACACCAGCAGGAACATAAAAGCAATAACAGTGGGGTACCTTCAAAGATAGTGTTTCCCACCAGAAGCACAGCACAGTTCTATCTGAGTTCTCCTCATTAATCACTTCCTTTCATTCTTGTTTTCCAGCCAAAGCTTTTGGCCAAGGAGTTGCTTGATTTGGTGGCATCTCATTTCAACCTGAAGGAGAAGGAGTACTTTGGAATTGCATTCACAGATGAAACGTAAGTGCAAGAAATTAAAGACCCAATAATGGGATCATTGGGGAAATATGGATCATGGGAAATCTTGGTGTTTTTGTCCTACGCAAAATGACCAGTGTAGATCTGCATCCTAAACCAAGGTCTAGGGAGTCTGTCCTGTACCACCTCTTCTTCAGAAGGCTGGAAGCCTCTCATAGCAAGTTAAGCATGGCCGGAGGTGTACAGAGACGGTACCAATCCCTTCCTAATCCAGTGTTCAAAGAGCTGGTGTCATGTGGCATTGATGAAATGTTAGCTTAAGCTCTCATGGGCTTAAGATCCACTCACTATACAAAATCATTACCAGCCCGGCAGAACTGTTCGATTAAAGTGTTAGCCAGTTTATTCACTGAAGCAGCCTTAAAAGTAATGCTAGATTATTTCAAGGGAAGAACAAAACCCAGAACCAACCTCATAGAATTGCTCTGTTATTTCTGATGTTTTAGATCTCGGATTAAAGTTTCTTTTAAAAGGGAAAGAAGAAAGTGTGGGAAAGGAAGGGATTGCCAAATTGATGCAAATGACATGCATTTTTAAACATAAAATATCCATGTGGGAAGGATCTGACCTTACCAGGAATCCCACAACAGCCTTATTGCTGAGCTGAACTCAAGGATGGGACCCTGACACTGCAGTCACCCCAGGCAATGTTGGTTGTTCACCTTGTGCCCCAGCTCCCAGAGTTCTAGTGTTATCATAAAACTTGAGGTTTTGTATTGAGGCAGGCCATTTCTACCCCCTCTTTAAAAGGCAAGTATAAAATTAGCGCTGAAGAAACATTGAAAGGCTGCCAAATGCCATGATTAGTCCTAGACTGTGACCTCTCGGTGCTTTTTTTCCAGCTGCCTGGTTTTTCTCTGTAGTTAGACTGTCCTGGGCATACGGACTATGTCTTGTTTGCATACCCACCGTACTCCACCTTGGTTTGCAATAAGGTGTTTTTGATATATTAATCAGAAAGAGGCTTCCTGCACCTACATTGCTTTAAAAAAAAAACCAAGATTTAAAAGCCAATGCTGTGTTCCCAGAAAAGCTGAGTCATCAATATTGCTGTCATGAGCCTGCTCCATTCTCCCACTGGAATAATGATCCAGGCAATCAGAGGCTGTTGGATAACTGCACAAACATATCCACATTCATCTCATCAGTGATTGCCCCTCAAAGCCAGCTCCTTTGGCAAGTGCCTGACTTGGGCAGCTAAGGGCATCTCAGGACACAGCTCCCAGGATGAAGAAGCTCTTGCCATCAGGCACCAGCAGAAGCAGGGCCCAAAACAGAGGAGATCGCAGAATCTATCCCATCTCACTGACATGAGCAGCTGAGCCCTGTAGGGGATCTCCAACCCAACACAGGGCTGGTCCTTACAAGAGGAACAGCAGGAGGCAGTGGCAATTGATAAAAGCAGAAGGAGGAAATGGTTCCTCACCAAAGTGTTATTTCTGATTGGAGAGAGTCAAGTTACTCAGTGGGTGCTGTCTGGGGGGTGCAGGAGAACCATGCAGGGAAGCTAAAGCAGGCTAAGAGATGAAAATGTTGCCTTAACAGTCCTAACAGCATGGGTTCAAAACAAGAAACACATGTCAGACTGCAACTAGAGAGCAGCTGAGCCAGCCCCAGCTCTCAGCTCTGCTAAGCGGGCACAGGGCTCCCCTGGGAGTGCAAGGGAAGCTAATGAGGAGGTGTCAGCAATTAGAGAGAGCCCACCCTCCCCTGGGATTCCAGGTTTATAATGGAGCAACATGAGCAAAGATCTGGGTTAGTGATAGGAGGAAGCACGGGAAGCTGACACGGGCTGTCAAGGCTCTGCTCAGAGATGTGCATCAGATGCAGAGGGGTGCACACTGTCACAAAGGGTGAGGTGATGGCATCCACTCACTTGCTCACCTTCTTGCCCTGCAGTCAAGGTGTAGGAGGCTGCATTTTAGGAGATGCTGAGTCAGCACAGATGAAAGATTTGGGGATGGCCTCATTAAATCTAGTAAATGCAACCCAGAAACATGCCACTAAGTCCTAGCAGATACAAAGCTTGGTCTGCAGCCCTTCTGCCATCCCATAGTGAGTCTGACTTTTGCACTGAGGCTCCTTCAGTGCAGTGAAAATATCGACAAAAATATGTCCTCTTCAATTATAAAAAGCTTTGAATAGAGTTGGCACAAACAGTGATTGTTTTATTTGACTGAACACAGCCAAAAACATATACTGGGGGGGGGGGGGGGGGAGTGTGTGGACTTGGAAATGGGTGTCCCATGTCACTGTCAGAAAATCAAATGGGCTGTCTGTGATCTTAGCCTGCAATGTGAAATGGAAGTTTAAACAAAAAAACCTTTCTTCAAAAAGTAGGAAAAACAGTCTCCTAATGTGTGTTTGCAGAGTACCTAACACAGCCCTACAGCTGATACAGACACAAAAAGAAACCCTTTAATTCTGTGGCACAGGCCCTCAGGGATTTCCTTTTCTTCACCCTTTGCTGAGTTTCTGTGTGGCTTCCTTGAAGGGAACATGTAACCAGCTAAACCAGAACAAGCCTGGTTCATAAATGTAGTCTGGGATTGGCTAAATTGCAAGTTTAGAAAGAAGAAAAGCCACTAAAGCATTAAATCAATTCTTCTGTTTAAGAGTAAAAGCTTTGAGAGAGTAATTTATTTAGAAATTATTTGGACTGGGGATTTCCATTCATTAGTTGTGCTCTATCATGACAACCTAAGAAGAAAATCAATGAGAACAACCTTTGCGTTGGCTACTTAATAGTTTCTTGTGATAATGTAAGGTCATTACTGCATTCAGCGTGACTAAAATTAGATTGTCAGACTATTATGGAGGAGAGAATACCGCCTCCTATTTTAATGATCATAGGAACACTTTATGGTGTGAGCCATTAACTGCAGAGAGCACAGGTCAAAAGTGCGTCCCTGTACAGCACGTGGGGCCAAGCTTCACATAAAGCCAGAATAGCTATGTGCTGCTTGACTAAGACTGGAAAAGAATGGGGAAAGGGCTTTTCTTTTTCAGCTCAGCTATTTATAGAATCATAGAAACACAGAATCATCTAGGTTGGAAAAGACCTTTAAGATCATCAAGTCCAACCATTTCCCCAGGACTGCCAAATCCACTGCTAAGCCGTGTCACTAAAGGCCTCATCTACACGGTTTGTGAACACTTCCAGGGATGGTGATTCCACCACTTTCCTGGGCAGGCTGTTCCAATGCCTGACTACCCTTGCAGTGAAGACTTTTTCCCTAATACCCAGTCTAAATTTCCCCTGGCACAGCTTGAAGCCATTTCCTCTTATCCTATCACTTGTTCCTTGGGAGAAAAGACCAGCCACCTCCTGTCTCCATCCTTCTTTCAGATAGCTGTAGTTAGAATCTATGAATCTCCACTAACTGCCCTTTCCTTTGGCATTAGCTCTTCCAGCGTTACTGAGAGCAAGTGGTCAGGATTCCCCTTCTATTCACTGCAGAAAAGTAATGCTGCCAGTCTGGGCCACAGGCAGGTTTTCCATGTCCTTTATTTGTACTTAGATGTGAGTCACCTGCTCCATGAAGAACTCCCAACTTTTGCATCCCACAGCTTCCCCTCTCCATGGGTTAGCTTTTGTCTCCCTTGCCAGAGGAGAACCTGCAAAGCATCTTCTTCAGCTAGCTAATATATAGGGAAAAACTGCAAGACATTGAGGCCACACTGTTTGTGTTACACTTGTGCTAGAAACTGTACTAATGCGACAAGGTAACGACAGATAGTGCCCTTGCTCAGCCCAAGATCTACGGCCAAAGGGATGGCAAGGGAAGAGTATTGTACCACTCTTCCCTGGAATACTCCTTCATACCTGGGAACTGGGGGGAAGCCTATTTCCACGCTACAGCCATGTGGCAACGCCAAAATGAGGGACCAGGTGTCCATGTCCTGGTTGAACAGCCAGCCCAATGGAGGGTGCAGCTCTCAGAATATCATCCTGATCTGGCATTAGACCAGTTCCTTTGTCACCAAGTTCCCCATTTCACAAAAGCTGTACAGTTAAACTCATGGCTCCTTGAGCTTTGCAGCCCCTTCAAAAGTATTTCTGTTAAAGATTTAAGACCTTAAATGAGAAAATCTGTGAGTTTAAAGGATTTTTTGTTTCTGTAGTGATTGACTGAAATGAAAAATTGTTTATATGGTTTCTATTATGTGAATGGGTCTTTCTTAAGGTCCATTCAACTCAACACGGGTTCGAGACTGAAGAGGTGTGAGTTGGCTTATTGGTGCAAATACCTTTAAAATACAGATCAATGTGGATCTGCTTTTCAGAAAACTGGACACTCAACAGTAAAGCTGCATAACCAGAACCACCTGGAGGCAAAGGATTCATCGATGTACCACCCTTTACTGAAAGCCCTGATAAAAGAAAACAGAACTACTACATGCAATTGACAACGTGAACCCCGGGCACGAAAATCTATACTCAGTCTGTAACCTAAATGGATGCAGTTTCTTCTTCTAAAAGCAATTATGTATTTGCTATCTACACACCAGTTTAACTGCCAGCATGAGTACAGTCAACAGAGAAAAATGATCTGGCTTCCAGTTCAAACTCTCTGTAGTCACCCAAAAATGTTTGCACCATTATTTGTTAATACACTGATATAAATGCTCAGATGAACAAATCGATGGTGATAATGAAACAAAACCTTTGTATTTCTAAATTGAATTGTGAGGAAATCCAGCTAGACATAAGCATGTATGAATGGTTTAGTACAAGCTGCCTAAATTGGTCCATGAAAACTGTTAGAATTGCTACATGCCTGGGGTTATATGCCCATACTTTTCCTTGTTTTACATGGGATTGTGCTCCATGAATAGTTCTGAAGACAGGAAGACAGCTTGCAGAGCAAAGCCTTCTGTGGCATAATGTCATTGGAGTTTGGCTCCCTGAAAGAACACATTCAGAGGCAGATGCCAGCAACTGCTCACTGCTGCTGCTCTCTACATGCCACACATGCACGCTTGGAAACAAGGAGTTAGGTGACAATCTGCAGTGCAGAAGCCCTCAGTGATGAAAGATTGTAAGTGGTAATTGAGTACAGTGAGCAGTTTGCTCCTGGCAGTGATTTAAGTGACCTTCCTGCTCTGAAGGAGCTTTGGATTTAAGCTCCAAGCAGATGAGAGTAATGAAACTCTTCAACCCCAGAACTCAGTGGCAATTAACTGTGTTATTCAGTACACACAACTGTGTACGTGTGCAACATAAATGTGCAACCTGGTATGCATATGTATATGCATATATTTCTTTTTTACTGATTATATCAACCAGTTTCTCAAGTTCAAATGCAGGGAGAATGAAAAGAACAGGTATTTTCAAAATAAGAAATACCCTGAAGTGAATTATTGTGCTGTGCAAAGTGGCTTCTCAACCCTTTGCTGTACCTGGTAGGGAAACCCAGACATTGCTGTTGAATAAAAATAGAGGTAGACAGTAAGTCCATTGTCAACAAATCAGTCTTGGAGGGAACCGGTGTGTAATGCCATCAGCTGCTGGTGGCTGCTATTTTGGTGATATAAATGCAGCTGGACAGGCTCAGGATAGAATGTCAGGCTTAGTGTGGCTTTTCCTTGCTCTGACAGTGCTTTGTACCTTGGCCTACATGGTTAAATGCTTATTTTTTATGTTGGCTAGGAATGGGTAAGCACGTCTAGTTTCAATCCCCATGCATACTTTGGCTTTCACAGTTCATTTCAGACTTCCTGAGTCCTGTTAAAAGAAATAGAACAGCACTTAAGGGCAAAAAAAAAGAGTTAGGAAAAAGGACAGATTTCAAGAAGGGCGATGCAGTGGGAAATATGGACACTACAATCTTTGGATGCTGAGGTTGAGGATCTTTCAGCGGGGCTTATTTTCTAGCAGTCTGGAGCATCTGTCTTCTAAAAACCAAGCCTCATCTGTGCTGAACAGGGCACGATGCAGAGATTGCACACTAGAGCTGGGTGACTGCATCCCGAGCTGGGTGACTGCATCCCAGCAGCAGAAATGACTGAAGGAGGCCCCAACATGCTGCACGTGCACAACACAACCAGTTAGCCCATACACCCATCCCAGTTAACACAGCCACCCTTACACCTGATCCTGGGAAGTATCACTGCACAGCACTGTCCCAGGCTTGCTCTCAGCCCATACGCTGCAAAAGAGATAGATAAATTTTTGAAGTAGTAATTTCATCTAGAGAAAAAAAATGACTAAAAGTTAAAATATCTTGGAAAGAAACACACAGATGTCTACAGCAGGGGATAAAAAAGGCTTTGGTCCTTTTTGTACACCTACAGATGTCCAGGTTGAGCTTGAAAAGTCCCCAACTCCACATTTATTACTTGTACCTAGCTGAGAGTTGGTACTCTTGTAAAACAGATGCAAAGGCTGCTTAAACTGAACATCTGACTTCTATACGGTAAAATCTGAGATGAGATGGCTTCTATGTAAGTTAAATGTCTGATGATTCTGAACTCACTGGAGTGATCAGTGGGGCTCACAAGTAATTTTGAATGACTGAATCATAGGAAGGTTTGGTTTGGAAGTGCTGGAGGGTCTGTGAGCTGCCCATCCTCTTCTGCATCGTCATAAGCCAGGGCAGCTGTACAGAAATTTAGGTGATTCAAAGCCTCCTTACACTGCTGTTTTCCCCCTTATTTTTCCAGAGAAGATGGAGTGGGGAAGATACAAATCCAGTTGCATTGCTGAATAGAGGTTGTTTCTTACTTTCCAAAGGGGTCAAAAGCACAAACACCGCTAAGGAATAATGGGCAGACCCTTGTGAAAGTTAAGTGTGTTTGCTGACAGGGTACATTGCTAAGGCTTGTGGCAACCCTAGAAGTTAATTTAATGCTTTTTTTTTAAGAAACAAGCCTTTTTTTCCACTTCTTTTTTTTTTTAAGTGGAATAAAGAATTATTTTTGAGGATTAGCTGGGGAATAGGCGCTGGAATAGAGCTCAGGACATCTGAATTCCATTTCCTGCTTTATTTGCTGCAAGATTCTCCCCAAAATCACTTCAGTTCTCTCTCCCCTTGCTTGTCTAGACAGCAGAACACCGAAGGCAAGGGCTGCCTCTCCCTCTGGGTGAAATCTGGTCTGACTGAAATCAATAGCAAAATGCTCACAGGATGCAGCCCCAGCATCACCAAAGGCAATGGCAAAATTCACATCAGCTTCAGTGGGGTCTGAATTTTACCCTATGTGCCTAATTTAACAGGGCCTTTACCTCAGCTGGCGTGTGAGATGCCCCGTAATACAAATAATGGTATTTATAACATACCTCTCACACACACACAGAGCTCTCAGTGTGGGGAACGTGACAAAGAGCAGAGCTTCTGCCCAGCAAAGCTTCCAGCAGCAAGGCACGAATGGATAAATTATAGGAGAAAATAATAGCGACAGGTACCATCTAGGCAAGAGAAAAGCAGCATGTGGTAATTGGAGCTGGAACGCTTCAGCTGTTTTTCAAAAGCTCTCTGAAGGAGGAAAAACAAAGGCTGGGCAAAGCTAGAGAGGCTATTGCAGGCTTGTGGGTGGTAAATAAACTGTCTGGGGCTGTTGAGTCAGGTTTAGCCTTGAGTGAAATATTGCAGGGGTTGAGAAAACTCTCAGCAACAAGGGTTTCTAATGAAAATCTTGACAGACTTTTAATGATAAAAGTGCTCCGGGGGGTTGTAATAAAAAGGTGAAGCTCATAACATTTTGGGCTGTCCTGCCTGCTCAGCGCTTTTGCCCTGACAGATTGAACTTTAGCAGTTCGATTCCCAGCCTGAAGTGTTGCCAGGACAATATCGCCTCCATTCCTCAAACATTTGCTGTGTGGTTTTCAAATACCAGGCAATAGCCAAGGGCAAATGGCATGCAATCCATTTCATCTTTTGTAACACCTCAGACCTCATTGCCATGAGTAGTGAGAAACCTCTTGGTGCTGGGCTCAATGTTGTCTCTTCTCTTGCCAGGGGACACTTGAACTGGCTCCAGCTGGACCGCCGGGTGCTGGAACATGACTTCCCCAAGAAGTCAGGACCGGTTGTTTTGTACTTTTGTGTCAGGTAAGTGCAAGCCCTTCCCATGGGATGCAGCTATGGATAACCTGTTCCCTAGAGGGCAGGAAATGAGGCTGTTGGTTTCTCATGCTGTAGAAAGACCCGTGGACAAACAAACCTTTTAAAGTGGTTTCTTTTGAGCTCTTTGGCTTTGACAACTCTTCTCACGCAAGTGTAAATAAGTAGTAGCCACACTACTACATGACTGCTACACACCCATAGCTGGCCACAGAGAAACCTGGTATGTGGGCAAGATCAGACATTATGTGTTTACATTTTATTTTGGGGGTTTGAACTCCTGGAATGTCCAAGCTGGGTAGGGCTGCAGAACAAAGACTTCTTAAACACTTCCTTGCCAGTGAGCCATCCATCTCCTGTGGATTGTGCCCAGGGTGTGGGTTATGTCAGGAACCAAATTAATCCCAGTATAGCTCTGTTGTATTTGCCTCCTGGACTCAATCATGTAATGAATTACCTGCAAATAGCAAATGATGGCACTTGTGGCAACCAGTTGGCTTCTGCGTGGGCATAGAAGATATTCACAGACAGGACTACAAAGGTTTTAATGAAGGTCATGGCAGTGTGGGGAATTTCTCTCCATCTGGGAATTTTGCAAGGAACTGTTTAGTATTTGAAATCCGCTAGAAGCTGCTCTTGTATACTCCAAGCATTTTTGACTCCATGGGAGATATATTCTTAGAAGACAAATGTGCTGCTGCAGTTTTAAAACACCCAGAGAGAGGCTGGAGGTTAGGATGGCATATGTACAGAATTAAGTTGAGGGCTTTGACTTACTTTTAATGAATAGCTCACGTCTAGAAGTAGCTAGTGCAGTGTTACTGTGTCTTTTCCAGTCAGCTTTTCCGCCCCAGTGTTATATTACATCTGACATCTCACTCATTCATTCCATCCTACCCACAAAAAATGAAGACCTACTTTTGAGTTTCTTCTCCTAAGTTTTTTCCCCCTGCATAGTGATTGTCATTCATTTAACTTCAATTACAAGGAAGGTCTCTCAAGAGAAGAGACTCTTTTTTCTGTTATGACCACATATTTAGTGGTGGAGATATTTTAGGACAAATCAAGGGTGCACAAAGCCTCATGACTGCAGGACTGGCCTGCTCCCTCCCAGAAGAGCTTTTAGTCTACTTTTCGGGTTCTTCAAACCATAAGGGTAGATTCAGCGAGAGATGCACTGAACATTTCCAGTGTATACAATCCAGATCCACCTGTGCTTAGAACTACACAAAACTGTGGGTGCAAAAGACTTTTAGGCAAATTTAAAAGAGAAAAACACTAACTAACTCATTAAGGACATAAGAACATGTAGCTCTGTTACCAAGCATCTTGCCTAGGGACCAAGATTTCCATGCACGGGCAGGGATCCCATGGAAAGCAGGAAAACCTCTGACTGAGGAAGAGCCAAATACAGATTTTAGGAGTGATGAACAAGTAAAAGCTGGTGCTACTGAGCCACTCTCATGTTCATTTTAAAGATCACTCAACAAGCATAAATATTGCCATCTGTATTGTTTTATGAGAGTTGGCAGCACAGTGGAGACAAGTTCTCTCAGGATTTTAGCCAAGAGACAGTCCATCCTACGGATCCAGAAAACAGTAAATGAGTGACCTCTCCTGTTCCAAAATTGCAATCCACGGGGAAATCCATAGGGGAAAAGTCAGTATTCGGCATCTGAAAGGTCAGTGTGTAAAAACAGACTGATTATGGGATTATGCTCTTATTTGTGGTAGTAATGAGTGGATTGTTACACTGAGTTACAAACTGAATTGGATGGGAAGGCCAGATGCCTCAAGCAATATGAATGGGCATTAATTTATCATGGCTTTTCTACTGTGTATTTCCCCTGTTGATGTCAGACACTGGCAAGAAGTTGAAAAAGTTTCCCAGCATGTAAAGAGTTCCCATGTCCGTCCCCAGATCTGCCAGTGGGGAAGAAAGTGGAGAAGAAAGCAATTCCAGCCAGCTGGCTAAAGTTAGAAAGGCCTAACGTATCTGTCACCCAGCAGTTTCAGTTCTGGGTTGGCAGCTAAAGCAGGGGCTGAAGGAAAGGTTGTGAAGAGACCCAATTATGCAGTCCACACCCATACCATAAACTGAATGTTTCCTCTTCCCTGCTGCCATGAGGTAGAAAGCAGAGGTAACTAATGCTGTACCATACCTCATTACAAATGTGCTGGGTGCCCGTGACACCTATTATATCATTGCTAAAGGCTTGCCTGTGTTTGCAGATACCTTTCTTGCATTACCTCTCTCAAGCATCACAGCTGACAAAGATGAAGTTGGTGCTGGGGGTCCTAATTGGTGAGATAGTAACACAAGTGACTGGATGTGCCAGATGTTCATTACAGAGAAATCTGTTTACTGTACCAGGATTTAGTAACCATGTGGGTTTTTCCCTCTAGTTGAAGTAAATGTACAATTCAACCACACTGGGTAATGACTGGAGACATGAAGCTTCAGGCAAGAACAGTAAATTGCAGTTTGTGAAGAGGAGACACTACAGAGGAACCATTTTCACCTTTTATGTGACCATCAGAGTGTTTTTTACTCTTACCATGCCTGCAGCAATGTTGATGGGCAGCATGCCCACCAAGGATGCCACAGTTTTTAGGTTCCTCCAAAAGTACATCTAAAGGGACGCATGTTTTTTTAAGTAAAGGCTTCTTGGAAAAATCATGCTTCTAAGAGGAAGTTTCACAGGCTTTAAGGAATTATCCTCCCTTACTTAAATCTCTGTAGCACTGTTGAAGCTTTGTCTTTTGACACATATTTCCTTGGGGTTGAACATTGATGTCTAGTGTCTTTACTTCAAAGACCAAAAATTTCACAGTGCTGTGTCAAAGAAGGAGGATTTTATTAGTATGAGTTCAGAAGAAATTGTTTCTGCCCTTATATACTTGCACAGCTAACTGAAGCCTCTCTGACTTCAGGTTGACATCTAGTGCTTCTCTGGAAGCTGAGAACAACAGGAATGTAGGAAGCAATCAGAACTGCTTGTGCAGCCCCATGGCTGTTGTCGTGCTGTTGTCATTTTATAAGACTCTGCTAATAATCCATTTACATTGCTTTAGAGCAATACATGAAAGCAAGAGGAGTGCCCTGTGTCTTGCAGGAGTGGTGGGATGTCTGGCAACTGGATGGGAGTGATGTTAGTTCTCATCTTACAACTAGCTTCTGCAGGTGGCTTTCTAAAGCCCTGGTTGCTTGGTTGTTGGTGGAACAGGTTCATCGGCATCTGCCGAGACACAGCTAAAGCCCAGGAGAGTCAAAGGACAGGGAGGAAGGAAGGAAGGATTGCTTGATCAGTTGGTTTTACAGAGGTGTTTTGAGACCAAAAGAGGACAGCAAAACTGTACTGGAAAAGGACAGGAACCTAAGTAAAGTGTGGAGAAACAAAGAGCAAGGAGGTCAGAAGGGTTCAGATAAGTGTTGTTATACTTCTGGCAGGGAGGGAAGCATTTTGCTCTGATTCACACAGCCAGGAGAAGGAAGCCAAAGTTACTCCCTGCACGTAAATCTTTGAGGTGAGAGGACCAGAGCATAGACACTGTTTGTTCATAGAAAGCAAAGTCGACCAGGCTTTGCAGTGAATTCTCATCCTCAAACAATGGCCTTGTGGGATCAGCAATCTTTAGCTAGGGAACCACCAGCATGGGGCTCATCTCTTTCTCTTCTGGGTGCTTGTCATGCTGTTATTTTATATGAACAAGCTTAGCAAATAAAATTCACTTTGCTGGTGGATCTTTTCCCAGGAATGGATATATGTGTTCTGAGGGTAGCTCCACCAGCTGAATAGTGACAACTCATCGCAGAAGTCGTCACGCTAAATCAGAACAGCTCTCACATGGAAAGGCTTTTCTTTCAGAAAAGCTTGGAAAAAATGTGAAATAAATCCTCAATACTCAAATACACTGTGGGGCAGAGTTTGTATCTATGGCCCAGCAGTATTCCCACAAAGGAATGCCTGTGTTCAGCAATGCCTGGCATGTGTTGATATGTGCTGGCTAGGATGGAGTCAGCACGAGAGCCATGGGGGTTCAGGACTCTCAATACTGAGGCCAGAGATTTTGCCAGGTTACCACAGTTACACAAAGTGGCCTTAAATAAGAGACCAGAACTGAAACACAGAGTGAAAAGCTCATGTGTGTCATTGCCCCTTTTGACCTGAAGGAATGTGGCTCTTCATGCACCAGCAGTACTCCAAGTCTGAGGCAGATGTCTTGAAATGGGACTGACCACACCAAGCCCGAGATGTTCACCTGATAGACAGTCCTATATCAGGGCTAATTAGTGCAGCTTCCCTGTATAAACACTGGAAAGAAATAGGCACCCTTCAGAAACAATTCACCTGACTTTTCTCGCAAGTAACAAGCGATAAGAGCAGAGGAAATGGCCTCAAGCTGCGCCAGGGAAGGTTTAGATTGGATATTAGGAAAAATGTGTTCACTGCAAGGGTTGTCAAGCACTGTAACAGGCTGCCCAGGGAAGTGGCAGTCACCATCCCAAGAGGTATTTAAACGACGTAGAGATGGGACACTTGGGGACATGGTTTATTGGTGGATTTGGCAGTGTTGGGGCAACGGCTGGACTCTTAAAGGTCTTTTCCAACCCAAACAGTTCTGTGATTCTACTTCATATTTTAGATGACTGCTTCAGAATTCGGTAAGTTTCTGTCTAAGATATCTACATCTCTTCTCTGACCTCAGACCTCTGCTCAGATGTAGGCATCTACGTTGTAGCTACCTCTTTACACCTGATGAATCCCCTCTGTGCACATCAAAGGCAGCCTATAAATTCAGATTATGATTTCAGACAGGGCTGGTACAGCCAGGGCTGAGGAGGCATTTCCCGTCCAAGGCTTTGCCTGACTACCTGGATGGAACTGGACCAGAGTTCAGCTGCTAATGAGGCTTTATGCTATTTTAGTTTCCCAGCCCTCCTTTATAGCCAGACTTTAAACCAGTATTCCATCAGAAAATGACTA